CCCCCGAAGGTGATGGCATTGGTGATGCAGCCCAGGTAGATGAACAGGATGGCAGAGATGGACTGGATATGAAAACCTTCGTAGAAGTCGCTCGGGAACCAGGGCAGCTTCCTCTTGATATCCAAATAGAGGCCACCACAAAACCTGGGGAGACACCACCGAGCACCAGCTGCACGTGACTTCCACCAGAACTGAGCCATAGAACCACGGAATGGGTGGGGTTGGAAGGAACCTAAAGACCATTTAACTCCATGGCATGGGCAGGGGCACCTCCCACTAGACCAGGTTGCTCCAAGCCCCGTCCAACCTGGCCTGGGACACTTCTGGAGAAGGGGCAGCCACAGCTTGTCTGGGTAGTTGTGAGATATAAATATATATATGCATATATTAATATCTATTTTATTAATTTATAAATATATATTCTATAATGTATTATATTTATTTATAAATATATTTAATTTTATATATTTATATATATTATATTTATATATTTATATATATATTTTATATGTATATATATATATATATATAATTTATATATTCACCCCTCTGTGCCCAAAAGGAATTCCCTCCCCTGTGCCCCCAAAGGATTTCACCCCTCTGTGCTCAAAAGGGTTTCACCCCTCTGTTCTCCAAGAGGATTTCACCCCTCCCTGCCCCAAAGGACTTCACCCCTCTGTGCCCAAAAGGGTTTCACCTCTCCATGCCCCAGGAGACCACGGGATGATCCAGCAGGAGATGCTGGTGGGTACTGGCACCTCCAGGAGGTTTTTGGGTGCTGGGTTCTTGCTCACCTGCCGGTCCACGCAAGCTCTTCCCCGATTTCATGAACTTCAGGCATCTCCCCGTCCTCGCTGCCTCCTCCTCCTCCCCCAGCCCCGGCCCCTCCGGCCGTGCCGTTCATCTGCCCCACCTCGTTCAGGGAGAAAACCGATTTCCTGCGGGACAGGGACACTGCTATTGGTACCCAAGGCCATGGTGTAGCTGTGCCTGCACCAGAGCTTGGGTTTGGGGTGAGTTTGGGAAGATCAAGAGCTGGATTTGCTCAACGCTGGTGGTTAATGAAGATTTTCATAGAATTACGGAATGGTTTGGTTGGAAGGGACCTTAAAGATCATCTTGTTCCACCCCCTGCCATGGGCAGGGACACCTCCTGCTAGGAGCTGTCCTTGCGAAGTGGAAACAGCTCTAGGGGCAAAAATTGCTGAAAATCAGCATTTCTGGAACATTTGCAGAGGTTATTTCTGGGAATGAAGGCAAGCCAAGGTGATGCCCTCCAGCATCTCCACAGCAGGAGACACAGGGGTGGTCCAGCACCACACCTCCCACCCACCTCTTCTCAGCCGAGGGCACTTTTTTGGGTGGCTCAATCCTGATGTTGGGGTCCCACTCTCCGGGTGGCAGGACGATGACTTCATCCAGGAACTCATCTATGCCAGCAATCAGGTCTTCTCTGTCCCGGGCTTTGTAGGCAACGTCACTGAAGAGCTGGGGGTGGGCACAGGAGGGGTGTCAGCCTGGGAGGGGTAACCAGCACCCACACGTCTCACATCACTGTGGGATTTCAGAGCTCATTTTTTTGGAGTTATAGGATGAAAATTGCTTTTTTTTCCTGGGTTCTGAGCAAGGGGGTCCCCAAGGAGGGTTGAGTGTGGCATCTACTCACGTCATCCACCATGAGAGTCGCGATGGCTCTGCCGATCTCGTTGTAGGATTTGGCTTTTCCCGCGGGACCGAGGAGGATAAAGAGGAATCTGGGAAGGGGAAGGTGCTGTGTTGGCAACCTTGGGCCACTGTCATCCGTGTCATGAGGCCACTCAGTGCTTTGGGTGCCAAGGAATTCCACTCACCTGGTGGGCACGGGCACCTCTGTCACCCCTCCCAGCATTGTTGCCTGGAGGAGCCGCACGAAAGCCACAAAGGGCTTCTCCAGGAACTCCACTTCTCCCACCAGAACATTGGAGGCCTCTGCATCCTTGGGGATCTTCTTGATGAACTTGTTCTTCAGCTGATGGAGAGACAAAGGTGGGTTGCCAAAAATTTGGAGTTTCCTGCTCTTTTCCACACCCCCCGACTACAAAAGCTCAAACCTCTTTCATCTCTGGCGGTCCCAGGACTCCCAGAGGTGGGGATTCCAGAGCCACACCCAAGAATAAGCCAGGAAAAATTCATAAAGCTGGATTTCTTCATTACTCAGAAACATCATTAAGCCAAGATTAGCTCCAAACCACACCCTCAGGGCTCCGCAGGACAACGGGTTTGGAAAAGGGGCTTTGCTGCTCTGGGGTCTGTGCATGGAAAACTCCATGAAATCCCCCTGTGGAACATCTGAGTCAAAAACCCAGGGATCCTGGAGCAAGTCAAAATGCGTTTTTGCAGTCTATTTTCAGCCCTGCAGCCCCAGGGTCCCCCAAAATCCTGCACAACACAGAAACACCCCTCAGTGCCCTGTGGCACTGAGGTTTTTGTGGCTCATTCCTCCCCAGCCTCATCCTGGGAGCAGGAACAAATAATGGAAGTAGGAAGCCTCATTCATGGATTTATTCCCCAGGTCTCTTCTCCCCTGCAGCTCTTTCATTATGAGTCTAAAAGGGTTCAATACCAACCCAGGCAGGGTGTTATTCTAATCTATATGGCAGCATGAGGGGAGGCATGTGAGCTGGGCAGGAGCTCTCCCCTTCCTAATCTTTTAAATCCAAATGGAAAAAAAAATCATAATAATAAAGCAACTCCTCCACTGCAGCTTGGAATAAGAGCAGGAGTTAACACTGACCACTAAGCTTCATGTAACACTTAAAAAGTCCCTTTGTAGTGGGTCTAATAGGGCGATTAAACCTAAATGCTTTGCATATTTTGGGATTAACCCTCCAAATCCCATCGCTGGAGGTGATTTTTGGGGTTCCTCTGTGGGCAGCTGGATTGATTCATTTTGGAATGTGCCCTGGAAACCTTCTGCTGCCCTGATGTCATGGCATCCCTGTCCTGTGGCTCCCAGCAACACATGGATTTCCAGCCTTGGCTAAATTGCATCACCCCAGGTAAGGCCAGCAAGGACATCCCTGGGAAAAAGCAAGTTGCTATCCCATATCATCCCCTAAAAACCCACATTGCCAGGAATTTCCCCTTTGGTTTTATGCTGAAATCATGCACAGACAGAAACAAAACAAAGCCCATATAATGCATCAGCAGTTCCCAGATAAAGAGCCTGGGATGGGGACAGGACACCCAGGAAAAGAACGGCACAAAACCCTACTGATCCTGCATTGCCAAGCAGGGATCTGCCTGCAAACTGCCTGAGCAGCTGGATCTCCTTCCCAGCTCCCTCATGGAAAAGCCCTTGATGTCCTCTCAGCTGAGCTTTGCATTAAGGAACCAAATAGAGGGAAAAACGGAGCCCAGCCCTATTTCCAGACCCTTCTCTCCAGAGCTGAATCCATGTTTGCACGGGATGTGCTTGGATGGGATTTACCCCCTGCAACCTGCCCTTAAACCAAGTGCTTGGATGGGATTTGTCCTCTGCAACCTTCCCTTACCAAGGAAAGGCTGTTTAGGGATCCCTTCACTCTTCCAAGCACCTTTCCTACCTAAAGATTTTAAGGAATTTTTTTCTCCACCCCAAGGATTTCGAGCTCCATCGGTGTCCTCGCATATCCCTAATTCCTTGTTGAACTTGCAAGCACAGGTGTGATTTCTGGCACAGCTTCCCCACAGGTTCACAGGGATCAATACAGGCATTGAATTCTCTAATTAGGAATTTGAGTGGATATCGAGCAGGCAAGGCCACACAAGGCTCCCATGGACCTTCCCTTAGGTTGGGATGGAACAGTCCCATCATGGCGTTGGATGGTTGGATGGAAACAACCCCATCACAGGAATGGGGTTGGATGGTTGGATGGAAAGAACCCCATGGGGTTGGATGGGAACAGCTCCATGGGGTTGGATGGTTGGATGGGAACAATCACATCATGGGGATGGGGTTGGATGGTTGGATGAGAACAACCCTATCATGGGGTTGGATGGTTGGGTGGGAACAACCCCAAGGGGTTGGATGGTTGGATGGGAACAAGCCCGTGGTGGAGATAGGGTTGGATGGGAACAACCCCATCACAGGGATGGAGTTGGACGGGAACCTCATCTTGGGGTTGGATTGGAACAACCCCATCACAGGGATGGAGTTGGATGGGAACAACCTCATCTTGGGGTTTGATTGGAACAACCCCATCACAGGGATGGAGTTGGATGGGAACAACCTCATCTTGGGGTTGGATTGGAACAACCCCATCACAGGGATGGAGTTGGATGGGAACAACCTCATCTTGGGGTTTGATTGGAACAACCCCATCACAGGGATGGAGTTGGATGGGAACAACCTCATCTTGGGGTTTGATTGGAACAACCCCATCACAGGGATGGAGTTGGATGGGAACAACCTCATCTTGGGGTTGGATTGGAACAACCCCATCACAGGGATGGAGTTGGATGGGAACAACTCCACCAGGGGTATGGTGGAGACTCCCCTCATGGCACTGCTCTGAGGTTTTTGGGGTGGTTACCTGGTCGGTGCTTGGCGTGTCCGAGATGTCGTTCATGCTCCGACTCTGCGCGTGACCTGAGGGAGAGGAGGGAGAGGAGGTGAGGAAATCACCCCATGTGCGAGGAGAAAACACAGGGGGAGTGCTTTGTGCAAAGAAATTAAACATTATTTATTATTGTATTATTTATATTATTTATTATTTATTGTAGCCGGGCTTCCAAACCAGATGCAACAAGAGGAAACCCCAAAAATTAGGAAAAAATGCCTTCGCTGAGAAACTGGTGGAGTCACCACCCCTGGCAGTGTTCAAAAAACCTGTGGATGTGGCACTTGGGGACAGGGTTTCACAGAATGCCGGAATATTCTGAGTTGGAAGGGACCCCCAAGGATCACTGAGTCCAAGTCAGTTTAGTGGTGAACTTGACAGTGCTGCATTAACAGTCGGACTTGACCTCGGGATGAGCTCAACTGGTTAAAACTTGGTCCTAATAATGCCAAGGGCATGGGTTCAACCCCTGTATGGGTCATTCACCCAAAAGTTGATCCATGAGGGTCACTTCTAACTCAATGATCCCTGTGGGTCCCTTCCAACTCAGAATATTCTGTCATGATCTCAGAGGGCTTTTCCAGCCTTGATGATTCCATGACTCTGAGTTCTTTCAATATCAATTTTCACCCCAATCACCTCATTACGGCTGTGGTGGGATCCCTTCTCATTGAAACTGCCCACTCCAATACTCCAACTTGATTTTTTTTTTGTTCTCCACACTAATTTTAGGGCTGCCCCCCCATCTTACGCAGGCGGCCGTAGCTCGCGCTCTGCCGCATCCGCAGGTCCTCGGTGGAGCGGTGGAAGGCGGCTCCGGTGGCTGGGCTCCGGACGGGGCTGCGGGCTGGGAGAGAGGAGATGTTAGAGG